TGTGTCGCAGATATTTTTGATCTATGCCCAATTTTAAAGCGTGGTCTGCACTTTGTTATTCCACGCTCTGTGACATTTTAACGCTGGTATATTAACCAAAAACTGAATAGAAAATGCAACAAAAAAAAATTCACAACATCATAGTACTAGAGAGGTATAATTCAGAATGTTTGCTCTTTTCTGAAATAGGTTTTATAGGGGCGACTTTGTCTCTGCAGTCACCTAGAAGCCTTCTATATAATTAAAGATAAAGAACATTACTCCACCCATTTAATGTATATATTATGCATAACCGTAAATTCATATAAATGGCACTAATGTATAAATATGTGCATAGCTTTATCAGCAAGTTCCCTAATGATAATCTGGTCTATCTTTAGTGATTTATTTGTAAAATATGGATGTTGTATGCATTGATTTTCTTGTTGGTTTAAATTGATCAGTATAGACATAAGATGTTTTTGGCACCTGCATAACCACGCCTCTGAAAATTTTCTGGAACCGTCACTGGTTAGGCACCATGCTAATGTGGTCACCTCTGGAAATCCTTTAGCCACCCCAGAAATAATTTCCTAGAACCGCCACTGTGGGGAATAAGGAAAAACAATGAGGGTCTACTTAAGAGCCATTTGACTTACGTTGTATTCCGGTTGGACTGCGGAGCTGGATGTGGTGCTGATGCTCTGAGCTGAGTCTTTGGAGTCTTGTTCCATTAATTCCAAACAAGGAGCCTGTGGAGTCTCTCTGGACACAACAGGGGCTCTGCGAGGACCAGCGGCACACTAGAAGCAGATAAGATGGAAAAATGGGCTTCCTGTGTTTAGAAGCAGCACTGAACCAAATTTTTTTTATATCAGGGTAATACTAATCGAGGATTTTGGCTGATTTGTTGTTTTTTGACAGACATAAATATGTTGAAATTAATTAAATATATGAAAAAAAGGTTAGTAATTGTATTTACACATGCTTATTTTCTTACAAGACAAGATGACTATCCTAGCTGTTCATTTTAATCATCAACGACAATTTGGAGGAAGAAACTATTTATTGTGGCGGCTCATTTTACTTCATTTTTTACAAATTCTTAAAAATAGTGTGTTAGTTTTCTGTTTTTGTGATGTTTTTCTTTGCTTTTTGTTTTATAGTTTTTTATGGTTTAATTCTTAGTTTATTGTGTTCTTTGGGTTTTTCTCAGTTACTGTCTCAGTCTTGGATCTGTTATATTTTCTTTTTAGTGTTCAGTTTTGCTTTACTCCTTGTTTTCTAGTGTTAGTGGTTTCATTTTTATTTTTGCTGTGTTCTCTGTTTAATTCTTAGTTACTGTCTCAGTCTTGGTTCTGTTATGTTTTCTTTTGAGTGTTTAGTTTTACTTTGCTCCATGTTTTATAGTCTTAGTGGTTTAATTATTATTTTGATGTGTTTTCTAGTTATTTCCAGTCTTCCAGGTTTTTCATTTGTTGCCCTCTGCTGCCCTCTTGTGTTCTCCTTTCTCCCTAGCTCCTGTTTTGTTTCTGCTCTGTGCTCACCTGTTCCCAATCTGCTCATTAGCCCACTCTTTGTCTCAGTCTCATTAAAAAGCCCTCTCTCTTCAGTTCCTCTTTGCTGGGTCCTCGTCTTACTTCGTCAATCTACCTCCAACTCGTCTCTCTGAGCCTTCCTCCTGGTTACTGTAATTCCCCTGATGACTCCATGGTTTCTGGTTCGTTTTTACTTTTTTTTTTTTTTATGCTTTGAATTTTGGACTCCTGGTTTCTTGTTTGTTTTTTGGACTTTGTTTTCATTTCTGGATTTTGGATTCTTGGTTGCCTGTTTGTTTGGAATTTGTTTTTTCAGTAACTCTTCATTAAATCAACTATAAATTCACCTCTTCCTGCCTGCCTCTGCTTCTGGGTCCTCCATCCACAAACAAATCGTGACATAGTGACAGTGTGATGACAAGAGATTAAACTGGTTTTTGCCAAAGATGTTTGAGGTGTGCAGAGATGCTGTTTATTTTTTACCGAACCTAGACCGGATTTGCATTGCTAATTTAATTGCTAATGTAAGCCTGGCACTTACAAGACCTGGTGTTACTTTGCTCATTTTTACCTTAACATAAACTATTTTGGTCAACATAGTGTAATTAAATGAATGAGCTTTACAGATCAAACTGACACCGTCAAGATATATCAAATGTTCACTACCATTGTTATGCTTTGCTCCTGTTTGCGGTTCTGCCTGCGAGGTTTGGTGTTAGGGTGTGCCGTAAGGCCAGCCTGGTAGATGGTTCTTGGTCTTGGCCTCTGTCTCAAACCCAACGGAGACTTTCCTGAAGGCTTTTTCTGGAAATAAAAAAGCAGAAAATAGGACAAAAATAAATTTCTTCTGTCCAATTGCAACAAAAAAGTGAAAGCCTCCATGTTTCAAGACCCATTACATCGCTGTAGGAGTCCCAATCCCGTTCCTCCTCCTCAGTCTTCTTCCTGCCCCTCTTCCTGCTTCCTCTCATACATTGGTTACCATCTGGCAGAAAATGTGAACACGGAGAGAGAGAAAAAGGCAACAACAGAAGGTCACACAGATGGCAGAGGAGAAAGTGAATATCTTTAGGTCTTTCCCGTTTTGTCTCAATTGCTTTGCAGTTAAAGAGCGAAACTTGAGTTTGCAACCTGTCAAACCACTATAATGTAAAGATTTTCTATAGAAGACTACAATAAAGTTCCAGCTGCTATTGAAATAATCATTATAAAGTTCTGTTATTATATAAATCTAACCTCAGAAAGTCATAAATCAAATCCTATACAGTCATTATTTTAATATAGCAAAACTAAGAATTAGAGAGTGAATAAGAAGTTTACATAACTCATAAAAATAAATGTCATGATCTTCTTTGGCTTTCAAGGATTTATTTCATCCTTTTTTTGCTTCAAGATAGAATAAATAGAAAACTACTAACTCAGATATTTCACAAAGTAGAACTTGATGCACAAATGTACATGTACTGTTGCATTTCTATAAATTAAACAGGGAAAGAATCAGATGTTATTACTGATTTAATTTCTCTAAGCCCACTTTTTCAACCATCTGCAGGTTTCTGACAACAGTGTTTCTGTATTTTCAGAAATATGTGGATCTCCCTAAATTTGGTCAGTTTCCTGGCTCATAAAATTTACACATGTTTAGCACTTTGGGAGGAACACTCTTAAGGCCATAATGTTAGATTGCCAAAAGCAGTTTGGTCCGTTCTGGGTTCTTGGGCGTTGTCCAGCTGGAAGGAACACATGTGACCATGTTTAAACGTTCCTGTAGTGTTTTATTTAGCATTTTGTAAATCCCATTGAGTTCTGTTGGAATAGTCAATATCCCTCCGCCACCGGAAACGGAAATGGGGCCTGTTTACACTTAGTTGTAGTCTTTTCGCTTCACTCTGTGGGGTAGTCGTGGGTGAGCGGTTAGGGTGTCAGACTTGGATCCCAATGG